AGGTGAAGGGGAGAAAGCCCAAGTACCACACATGAACAAGCCATCCATCCGCTGTCTGTTGTTGGCACCCTTCGAGTCTTGCGGACGCTGTCACTGAGATGCGTTGTTTTTTCTTGAATGCAAGCTTGCTTTTCATCGCGATGCGAGCGTGATGTGGGTGCACTGCACAGCTGCTTTCAAGCGTACAAGGCTCATTGACCATCAAGGTCGAGGCAAGATTGATTCGCCAGGTTTCCCCATTGAGTCAAAGTCAGGAGTCTTTGAGTCATGAGTCATGAGTGTTGGAATGGATCTTCGCGAGCACGTGACCCGCCCGCCTCGAGATCTTTCGGCCGATAAGAATCAATCACGTGCATTGTGAATTGAATACTCAAGACTCAAAGTATACAAGACTCAAGACTCACGACTAGCGTGTTGCTTATCGTGGGGGTGTCGAGCCTGTTGGCGTGCCTGCATGAGATAAGGCAACGAGGATGCACGACTTTGCATCAGCCTCGACATCGACCCATGCAAAGAAGCGCGAAAAAAAGGCCGCTTTCTCGATCCGCAAAGTGCCACAGAACGGCGGTGACGAGATTGTTTCAAGATTGGAGACTGCACTGCACTGCACTGCACTGCACTGCACCTCTTTTGCTGTCCTGACGTGACTCTTGACTGTCATGAAGAAGCTGCATGGCAATCGCAGCCAGACTCGCTGTCCTGTCCTTCCCACCCATGCGGCTCGTCTGTCTAATCTACGGACTCGCGCGCCTCTTCACTTCTCGAGGACCTTGCACGCCAAGCAAGCTGACGGTGACGCCACATGACCAGAAAGCCACCGCTTGACTGTTGAAGGATGGCATGCTTGTGTAGTGGTGCATGTACACATGCTCCCATCACACCTCCTCCCAGCAAGGATCACGTCCAGTCTCATATGCAGCGAAACGATCAGCATGGCAGTCGCAGCTGAAACCTGCTCTTGTGCCACTCGTGAGTGTGAGTGAATAAGTGAGTGAGTGATGTATACATCCGAGCGGCGTGTGAAACGTGTCGAGGAAGGCATGCAAGCCATCAGCAGCTGCGTGCAGATTGATTTCGTTCGAATTGCAGGCTGGCAGGCTGGCTGGCAGGCAGGCTGGCGGAGGGGTCCAGGCCTCAGCTAGCAGCGCGCATCCTGGCGCCGACCAGAGCTCACACAGGAGGGATGCGCCTATATACATGCCACATACATGCGCACACTTTTGCCGATTCCAAAAAGAAAAAAGGGCTAAGGAGCGGCAGCTGGCTAGTCGATACACTCAAGACTCACGC